GTTCGCAAATTCCAAGTAGGGGCTCCCGAGTTGCCCCCCCACCCCCCACCCCTGTGGCGAGTAACGTCTCTCTCCCTGCCTCTCCCCCTCTGTCTCTTACACACACACACACACACACACACACACACACTATAAAGGCATACATGAGATGCATATACTAACGCAAATAAACCCAGTTAAACACAGAGCACCTTATGAAGTCTGATAGCATGCTAAACTGTATTTTTATCAGCAGTGGCTTGCCCGCATTTCTTTTCACAACACATGCTGCACCACTTTGCTCGGCAAGTATCCCTCAGAAATGGTTATTACTATAGTCGGATTACCGCATAACTTCTCAGCACGTTCCAGAATAGTTTTCTATAACTACCCTCTACCGGCCTTGCTGTGAAGTTATAAAAGCACCCTTTTGTTCAAGTATCCTCTTGCAACTGTGTCATAACATCTCAAAAATGAAGATTTGTGAGTTGCGTCACTCTTGTAGCAAGTATTCGAAACGAGAGGTACAGGGGAAGCGTATTGAGCGAGATGGGAGACTCGAGGAGAGGCTTAGAGAGTAGGCAAAGAGGGAATCAAAGAGAAAATGGCTAAGAGAAGGAGAGGGAAAGAGAATGACAGGAGACAAGGGCAGGGAACAAGTGGGGTGAGGTTGGGGACGGGAGAGAGGGGGCAAGGGCACGGGCAGAAGGGATGGAGACAAGGACGGGGGAGAAAGGTGAGGAGGGAATGGCTAGAAGGGAAAGAAGGGTAGGTTGGAAGAGAATGATGGAGAAAATGTAGAAATTAATCGTATAGAGGAAATGGGGGGGTGGCAGGGGCCGGGGAGCGGGAGGCCGGCGAACACCCGAAGACGTCGCCTCTCCCTTCTCCGCGACAAACGAAGCGTCGACCGCGTGGAAGCGGACTTCTCGGAGGCGACGAATAATTCAGTCACAGCCGCCGATCGCAATGAAAGCGAGAACAGATCCCTTCATCACGCCGGGTCGAGACGACTGTAAAGTACTATGTGGGCAAAAATATCTTTATGGACTATTTTCTGAAGAATTACAGAAGGGTAAAACATAGATCTTTACGCAAATTTTCATTATATAAAGTGGTGGCGTTCTTCTCAATATATCGTGTGAGCGTTTCTGAAAATGAGCTATTTTAAGCTCATGTTTACAGACAAGTTTTCACTTTTCAAGAAATTAATTTGATTAACCATAAAATAATTTGAAGCACTTCTGTTGACAAATGCAACAAAGTATAGAACATGCCCGAAATGTAAATATTAAGATTTTTCAAACAGATTAACTTTGTGTAGTTTTTGAAAAAATCAAGAGAATGTATCAAAATTGTGTAAATGTCATATAATTCAATTAATTCAGCACTATCCGTACAAAACGTTACAGGAAAAATTGAAACAGTTTTCGAGAAAATAGTGTGTTCAAAACAGCCTATATTTCATTCAAATTTACTCGAAAACTATCCATACTTGAAAAAATTTAATTTTTCTCATTTAAAAATCTTCTAAAAAATATTGAAGACAAGACTAGCTCTTGGTCAGCGTACTCGCATTTCACTACCCAGCCCCGGGTACGAATCCCGGTGGAGCCAACACTAAAGTGTGTGTTTTCCTTGCAGTATTCCGGTATATGTTGCCTCTGTAACGATGAGAAAATTCACTGAACGCCTGAACTATTTTTAAGCGTCTTTTATGCTGTCCAAGGAAAAAGTGTAATCGAAAATTTGTATGTGATTTTTTTTTAAAAAAGAAGTGAAGTTCTTGAGTCTTTATGAAAGGTATACCCCAAAATTAAAACATCGGTTTTTAAATTCAAAGAGCCGCAACATCAACCAGAGCAATAGGGGGATATCAAACACTTTTTAAAAATCTTGTTAATAATTATCCACTAACCTTGATCACAGGCAGATTTTCGGGCTGCCGTTTTGCCGTAAAACAATTTTTCAGTATGACGACCTACAATATGTAGATTCTGACTACAGACGGTGCTGGAGGAAGTATATTACTACATATACACTCAAATATTCACATCGTTTTTTGGTGTCAGTATCCACAATACGAATTTTTCTGCAAAAAATCGTTTTTCGCTCCAGCAGTACGTAACGTCCTTTACAGCAGCGTAGACCTACGTAGCACGCGAGAAAGTAAAAATTCGTGTCAAATATGTTTTTGTTTTTTTTCATTAGTGTATTTAGGAGGCGTACGATCAGCTGCCCTGCCATCCAGAAAACATCCCACACGCCTCCACTTCTCGCTCATGCAATTTATTACATCATTCACATCCACAGCGCACAATTACCGCGGACTAATGAACACAGTTTGACAGTGCGGCAATGAAGTTACGTTACTTGACACAATTTGCGCAATGGCCCATGCGTCCGGGCGCGGGGTGGGCGTTTAAAGAACGATGGGGCGGCAGGCGAGTTGGTATCGCTGACGCGCACTTTGTTTGCATTGACTGTTATTGTTGTGGCTAAATGATTCGTGTCATTTGCAAAATAACGCGAGAATTAAATGTCGAGGGAGTTGAATTCATTTATGCGCTTTTGAACGCCGTGTATTTCACAGTGGAGGTGAAGCAGAGAGAAATGTTCTGGTAGGGTTCCATCCGATCGGGACGGGTCGGATCGGATCGGGTCGGGTCGGGTCGGGTCGGGTCGGGTCGGGTCGGGTCGAGACGCGATAGATCGTGAAGTGCCGAGTTGTATCGGGTCGGGACGAGTTCTATTTATGAATTCTGGCTCTTTGTTTATTTCATTGCCAAGTAATTCTTTGAATGTGACCGTTTTGCGGCGTTGAAATTATTCGTTCCGTCTGGAAACCAATGTGCGTATAAATGTCGATGGAACGAATTTATTGTCCGCTTTTGATTTATGAGGTTTGAGAAAGAAATGCCCGGGGTAGACTTCGGTGGTGTAACGTTAAGCGTATTGGACTGTTATACTCACGCCCGCGGGTTCAATCCTGATGAAAGGCGAGCGAAAAATCCTTCGTACGCCTTTCTTCGGAGAGGAAGTATCTCGGAGTGCCTCGTGGTGTAGATTAACATAAGGCTAAATGAAGCCTCTGAGCAAAATTCAAACCACTAGTTTGGTCGCCCGAATGATAGTCCTTTCTCTGCCAGACGGTGAAAGTGCCGGCCCGGTGGTGTTTGTCGATTCCGGACGTGCCCTGATACAGTGCGTCAGATGGTCTCCACTCGAACCACAGACAACTGCGCACGACGCGTCCGCAGTTAAAATCCTCTACCTCACAACTGAATGCAAAATAATGTTCATTCATATAATGAATGGTTCTTGGCATTTCAATAAGAGTGCAAACGAAAGGTATCACCTTTTCCATATTTTGTCCTTCACCTTTCATTACAAATTATAGTGCATTGCAACGTTGTACTCTTTATATTGAACTTCATATTATTTAAATATTTACTATTTCCTTGTTTGCAGAAATAAATTTAATTATTTGTCAGTGGTTTGGATGTACTTATTGTTTTAAAATATCGTCACTATCACCCATTTTGAAGATAATTGTAAAGTTTAATTGAGACGTTCCCAGGAAGCAGGGAAATAGGCTCATAGTCTTTACAAGGCTTTACACCCTGAAACAAACGCGAAAGGAACATTTACAATAATGTGTATGGAAATGAGTCGTGTGTACAAATAAATATCTATATTTACACCTACTTTGTTTTTCCTCTTGCCTACAAACACGACACATACGAAGGTAAGTGCTGATCTCTTGCGTGTTGAAAAAATACAGCCCAGTGCTGTGTGTTGTTCATTCGTGTGCTAAGCACACTGGAGGAGAAGGAACGCCAGTAAGAAAGTGATGGCCGCTCCAGGGCGGCCAGGCAGCGGGCAGCGCCGTGCGCGGAGACGGCTAGGGAGATCTCACCTTTTTTATATTTTCTACTCTTTATTTTGAAAACTGAATAAACTTTGTACGTACTATGGCTAAGGATAAAAACAGACAAAGATGTGAAAGCGAGAGACGCCGCGCCATCAGGAAAGTGAGGACAAGTGTATTTTAATTAGGACTTGCGCACACTAAATGTTTAACATTAGAAGATGTTATTGAAACTCTTCAGCAATGTCGCGCTGCGGGCGCGGGGCCTGGCAGGCGGACGAGAGGGCGAGTGGACGGGCATGTGGGCGGTGGGACGGCCAGGAGCGCGTTATTAACAGGCCACGACGCCCCTCCAAAGCCCCTTCGCTCATTGGGGACCTCCGCGTCATGACGAATCTCCCGACCCAGTTCTATTGGCGCACAGCGCTTTCTCAGCCTGCGCTACGACAATTTCCATACTGAAATCATAGGACATCAAAAGAAACCTAGAAAGTTGAATCCTATTCAACTTGGAACTTACTATTTCCTTAGGCAGCTGCATCTTTTATTTCAAATAAGCGCATAAACTAACGGCAGACTGTTTTTCAGTCATTAAATATCCCTTCTTATCGTTCTTTTTTATTCTACATCTTTCTCTCTCTCTCTCTCTCTCTCTCTCTCTCTCTCTCTCTCTCTCTCTTCTCTCTCTCTCTTATCTAGCTCCTTTCTTCTATATATATATATATATATAATATATATATATATATATATATATATATATAATATATATATATCAGTCTGTCGCTGGTCGTCGTAGCAGTCGGACGTGTTTTAGCGGAGCTCCTCGCGAGACAATGGGTTGCTACCTGCAGGAGTATCGGCTCGCATCGGGGCGTGGGCTGCGCGGCTTTTCCTCGTGCGGAGCGCCAGCCCCCTCGGCATCGTTGAACGGGAACGGGGCAGCGGCTGGGGCAGCGGCTGGAGCAGCAGCGTTTGTGTGCGACCACGATTGCAGTTCTTTTATTAATTGGAGGCGTCGAACCTAATCCAGGACCTGAAGTTGAAGTTAAACGCAATTCGCATCTTGTGCAGTGGGGTGCAATAATAACCTAAAATCCGGAAAGCAGTGTGAATGTTGTGGACTGTGGTACCATGCTAGTTGTGGTAAAAAATGGAAGACATGGACAACGGCAAGTGGTTTTGCAGTAAGTGGCAGAGAAAGCATGAGTGGCGTCAACTGGAAGAGAAACTGGAAGCTGCTCTTCTTCAATCCAGGAGGTTGAAGGAGTTAAACGCATCTCTGGAGGAGAAACTTCGAGCTGCTACAGTAGGAGACGCCGCACAGCCAATTGTACAGAGCCAACTGCGCAGAAAACCCATTCTCGTTATTGGTGACTCGATAGTGCGACATGTAGGCAATGTCAACAAGCACATGGATGTTGTGTGCCTCCCGGGAATCCGAACCGAGCAGCTGCGGAGGTATGTAGAGAATAGGGACCTTGGAACGCCAGACACCGTAATTATACATGTTGGCACTAATGACCTGAGGAGAAGAAATCCTGACTTTGTCATGGGGGATATGGGTGACCTCGTGATGAAAGCACAAGAGAAATTCCCTAAAGCAAAAATTAATGTAGTGGCATTCTCAGGCGTCGTGGCATTCCATGGAGACGTGTTGATGTAGTCAACCGAATGTATGAGTGGGTGGCGCAGAGAAGGAATGTGTTCTTTGTGGACCCAAATTCGTGGCTACAGGACGGCGATTTCGGTTCGTGACGGGTTTGCACCTAAAGCGCTCGGGGTCCACAAAGCTGGGTGGACTCTTCTCGCAGTATAGGAGGCCCGAAACTCCCCGCGACAGACTCGTGAGACCGCCACGGCGCGTGGCGTCAAGGAATGTCGTGTCCCTTGTGATGGTTTGCGCGGTGATGTCGGCAACGGACGGCGCGGGGTGAGGACGGCGACGTGACGGCGACGTGCAATGGTGCGGTGACGGCGGCGAGGGACGGCGACGCGGCGGCAGCGGTCGGCGGCGCGGTGAGGCGGCGAGGGATGGCGGACGCGACGGCACGCCGGCAGCGCGGTGACGGCGGCGAGGGACCGGCGACGAGGCGGCAGCGGTCGGCGGCGCGGTGACGGCGGCGCGGGATTGCGACGCGGACGGCAGCGGTCGGCAGCGCGGTGACGGCGGAGAGGGACGGCGACCGGCGGCGGCGAGGGATGGTGAAGCGGCAGTGTCGACCGACGACGCAGTGGCGGCGGGGAGGACGGCGTCGTGGTGACGGCATCGGTGAACGGCGACTTATCGCCGACAGCGACGCGGCAATGACGGCAAGAGACGGCGGCATTAGAATAAGGAACTACGCAGAAGGTGAGTCTCTGGTTATTCTGCAGGTTAATTGTAGGAGTATTTAAATAAAGCTGTTCATTTCTGGGAACATGGTAGAATCGTATAATGTAGATGTCGTGATAGGTACGGAGTCATCGGCTCAATGCGGAAATATTAAATGCTGAAATCTTCAGAGCACATTTTTTAATATTCGGCGCGATAGAGCAGATCGCATTGGTGGGGGAGTTTTTATATGTATTAAAGACAACTTCGAAGCAGTAGAGGCATGGGTGGACCGACAAATTTGAAATCATAGGTGTTGACATTCGAAATAGGTATTCAAAAAATCAGTGGGAAATTATAGGCGTGTATAGATCACAGCAAGACGGACACGAACCGTTACAAAGACTTATAGAAAGAACCCGTGTAATTAGGAAAAGTGGAAAAAATGTCATTATTGGAGGAGACTTAAATTTACCGCATGTTAGCTGGGAGGGGGATGTGGGGGCTGAAGGCGCCGCTCAACGCCTCATTAACGAACTGGTTGGGAAAATGGCTTAACACAGGTAGTAAACAAACCGACCCGCGATAATGCTTTACTGGACGTTTTCCTTATTAGACCGGCAGACCAATTTCTTGCTGCGAGGTAATTCCTGGAATTAGCGATCACAAAGGAGTCTCCTAAAAATGCACAGAGAGGGTAAACGAAATGATCTTGTAAAAGAAAAGAAAATTTTTTCAGTTTTCTCGCAACAAACGTCACAAATATGCAATTATACTTGAAAGCAATTTTCCGGCTTGGGCTCTTTAGAGGCATGTACAGTTGAACAGATCTGGTCAAATTTTAAGAACATTATTTCTGAATGCTTCAAAAATTCGTGCCTACCAGGAAACTACGTGCCATTCGGATCCTGTGTATTATAACAAAGAAGTGAGGCGACTGAAAAGGCAGGTTAGGAAAGCGTATAGTAAACGTAATATAAATAAGGATCAGAAAACATAATTTTCTCTACAATTATCCAAAGATCCATTAGCATTAAAGTTACATACCCAAGAAAATTAACCCTTAAACTCAATTCTAAGCGACCGATTGACCTGTTGGCAAAATTTCTTCAAGTATGTGAGACATAAGAAAGGGAACAAAGAAAGTATTCCAGCGATTCTGCGGAGCAGATGGCTTCGTTAATTACAGATGATAGTGAAAAGGCGGCTGTTTAAACAGACATTATTCATCTGTTTTCAAGCCGAAGGGATCAAACCTTAGTAAGTGAAACAACACCCGTAATAAAAAGAAACCTTTCGAATCGATGGAGGAATTATTAGAAAACGAGATTGCAAAAATTAGGAGAAATAAATCAGTAGGTCCTTGATGGAATACCAGGAGAAATACTAAAACTGGGAGGGGAAGCCATGATTCCGTACCTTGCGCGCTTAATGGAGGTTACTGTAAATAATAGCATGATCCTCAAAATTGAAAGAGGCAGTCGTAGTGCCGATTCACAAGGAGGAGACAGAAGGATTGTTAACAATTACAGGCCTATAAGTTTGACATCAGTCGTATGCAAACAGATGGAACACATAATCGCGGAGTATATTAGACGAGTTTGGAATAAACTGATTGGCTATTCAAAATCAACACGGTTTTCGTCCTGGGTATTCGTGCGACAGCCAAACAATTGCTTTTTGTCAGGACATAGCAGATTCATTAGACGATGGAGTAGGGTCGACGCAATAATATTAGATTTTTCTAAGGCATTTGATCTCGTTCCACATGGCCTTTTAATTTCCAAATTGTCAGAAACGGGAATAGATCATCGAATAATCCTGTGACTAAAAGAATTTTTTTACGGGGCGCACTCAAAACAGTTAGAATAGGAGACAAATATTCATCGAAAAGCCGCTGTAACCTCGGGGGTCCCCCAGGGGAGTGTGTTAGGGCCTCTGCTATTCTTAGCGTTTTTAATGACATTGGCAACTGGATTAAAATCAAAAGTTTAGACTATTCGCCGACGATTGCATAATATATAGGAGTATTGGCTCGTCTGAGGACGAAAATGTTTTACAGAGTGATCTTAACTGTTTATGGAACTGGGCGTGCAGAAATAAGATGGAATTAAATCCGGAAAAGAGTAAATTCATTTGGCTTTACCAAGTCCCGCTCGAACATACGCTCAGTTATGAATTAGGAACTAACGTTATACCACGTGTAAAAACTGTAAGTATTTGGGTTTGGTCCTGCGAAGCGACTTAGGTTGGTCGGATCATATTAACAATACGGTTAAAAAATCCTGGAGAGCGCTGCACTTTGTAATGCGTATTCTAAAAAATAGTAAGTCCAAATGCCCGATCCCTAGCATATACTACACTTGTACGCCCAATATTAGAATACGGAGGCGGCATGCTGGGACCCGTACAGAAAAGGGCAATATCGAAGCCTTAGATAAAATTCAAAACGGGCCTCAAAGTTTGTAAATCACGGTGCTTTTGGTGACGAACGAGGAAGAACGGGAGTCCTTATCAAAGAGAAGGGAACGGGCGCGTTTATGCGTAATGTATAAGACATTCAGAGGGGACACAGCCATGGGCAGATATCGGTAAAAGATTACAGAATTCAGATTATAAAAGCAGAGGAGACCATCCTTGGAAAATACGATGCGAAAGCAAAGAACTGATGTAGCAAGTTCTCCTTTGTGATCGCACTATAGTAATTGGAATAACACACCTGCAGAAAGCACTAGAGGGCTCTTCCTTCAATGTAGCCAAATTTAAAAATATGCTTTCATTCATCTAGAGGCATCTCGAAAATACTGACTGAGACATTTATCTTTATTATTATTATTATTATTATTATTATTATTATTATTATTATTATTATTATTATTATTATTATTATTTTATATTATTATTATTATATTCATTATTATATTATTATTATTATTTATTATTATTATTATTTATTATTATTATTATTATTAGTCATAAATTAACTATCGTCAGGCCCTTATCCAGTGAAGTGATGTGAAGTGTAGTGTAGTGTAGGTGAGTGGGGGAAGGGAGTGTTAGGGTAGTGAAGGGGAGTGCAGTTGCGTGTAAGTGTAGTGTTGTGTAGTGTAGTTAAAGTGTTTATGTTAATAGACTAGAAGTGAATTTAGAGTATAGCTTAGAAATAAATTGAAATATTATATCGACCCCCTAATTCTAATAGAAGACCCAATTGTAATTGTTTAAAATGTTTTAGTAATTCTAATTTTAATTTGTTATCATGTTTGCCACGAGCATTTAGCTCCAAAGCGAACTTTTAATAAATATATATATATATGATATAATAATACTATATATATATATATAATAATATATATAATATTCTATCTATCTCTCTATCTCCTCTCTCTCTCTATCCATCTTCTCATTCTCTCTCCTCCTAATCTATCTCATCTCCTCTCTTCTATCTATCTTCTCTACTCTACATATCTCTCTCTCTCTATCTATCTCTCTATCTCTCTCTATTAATCTCTCTATCTATCCTCTCTACTCCTCTCTATCTATCATCTGTCTATCGTCTATCTCTCTACTTCTCTTCTATCTCTCTTCTTCTATCTATTCATCTTCATCTCTCTATCTTCTCTAATCTCTATTCCTATCTTGCTATCTCTCTCTTTATCGTTTTCTCTTATCTAATCTCTCCTATCTCTATCTATCTCTCTCTATTCTTACTTCTCTCTAATCTCTATATCTCTCTCTCTCTTATTCATACTCTGTATCTCTATATCTCTCTCTCCTATCTCTCTCTACTTCTATTTATTCCCATCCTTCTATCTCTCTCTACTCCATTCCTTATTTCTAATTTTCTATCTCTCCTATCTCTACTTTATTCCTCTCTATCTCTCTATCTTCTATCTGTATCTCTCTAATCTCTCTATCTTCTCTATTCTAACTCTCTCTAATCTCTAATCATACCTCCTCTCTATCTATCTTCTCTCTCATCTATCTTTCTCTATCTACTCTCTCTCTCCATCTATCTCTCTCTATCTCTCTCTATCTCTCTCTATCTCTCTTCTATCTCTCTCTATCTCTCCTATTCTCCTCTCTATCTCTCTCTATCGTCTCTCTATCTCATCTCTATCATCTACTCTATCTCTCTATCTCTCTCTATTCTCTCTCTATCTCTCTCTATCTCTATCTCTATCTCTCTATCTCTATCTCTATCTCTATCTATCTCTCGTCTATCTCTCTATCTCTCTCTATCTCTCATATCTCTACTACCTCTCTCTCTCTCTCTATCTATCTCTCTCTCTCTCGTATCTATCTATTATACTCTATCATCTCTCATTCTATCTATCTCTCTCTCTCTACTC